GTGGCGCGGCCGGTGCAGCATCGCGCACAGCTCCTGGCCCAGCTTGAGGGCGGCGGCGCGCACCAGGCGCGGGGACTTGCGGCCCAGCCAGACGAACACGTCGGACCAGCAGTCCAGGACGTACACGCAGCGCGTGTCCAGCAGGCTCTGCAGCTGCGGGCCGGAGACTGGAGGTCACTGCCTGGCCACGGGGGCCGCGGCGCCCAGCCGCGCCCTCCTGCGCGACTCACCAGCCGCATCCCCGGCATCAGCTCCACCTTGGGCCGCTTCTTGTGCTCCACGGAGAGCTTGTAGTTGATCTGTGGCAGCTCCAGGTAGCCCAGGCCCAGGCCCACCTGGTGAGAGGAGGAGATGAGCACGGCTAGCAGTTTATTTCATTCTTATTTTTTTGTCCCAAGTCCAAGGACACGAGCCTAACTTGTGCCGCCCCCTGCTTCGGCGTCTGGCTCTGCTCTGCCGCGTGGCTCCCTGCCTGCTCCCGTCTCCCCTTCCGCCCCACCCCCACCGTCCCGTGGAACGGCTTTTGTTTTTGTGGTTTATGAGGTGGAGTCTCACTCTGTCGCCCAGACTGGAGTGCAGTGGCCACTCCCGGCCACCGCAGCCTCGACCCGCTGGGCTCCGGGTCCTTCCGCCTCAGCCTTCCGAGTAGCTGGAACTACAGGCACGTGCTACCACGCCCGGCTGATTTTTTTATTTATTGTAGAGATGAGGTCTCACCAAGTTGCCCAGGCGGGTCTCGAACCCGTGGGTTCGGGCAATTCACTCACCTCAGCCTCCCAAAGGCGCGGGATTACAGGCTGAGCCACCGAGCCTGGCTACTAATGCCATTTTTAATTCACTAACTTGTCCCTTTCCTACTCACAAGACCCCCATGGCTTCCTGTCACTGACAGAATTAACACCAGGTGCCAACCCCGGCACCCACGTGCTTCTGTCTCCCCCGCATCCCACCTTCCCAGAAACACACTTTCACACTATTTCTCCATTTTGTTGTTGTAGAGACAGGGTCTTGCTTTGTTGCCCAGACTGGTCTTGAAGTGCTAGCCTCAAGCAATCCTCCCATCTCAGCCACCCCAGGTGCTTACACCACTGTGTCTGTCCTGCCCCAGGCCATTTGTGAAAGCCAGCCTCCAGACCTTTGCTCGGGCTTTTCCAGGTCCAGAAGATGGCACCCTCTCCCCATCAAAGTCCAGATGGAGCCCACAGCCACTACAGTGGTGCATGGCCTGCCTCCTCAGCCAGCTGGTAGACTCAGGCCAGCCCCACACCCCAGCACCATGGTGTACCTTGTACAGCTTGGGCTGGGGTGGCCAGAAGTTGTCAGGCACGTGCTTCTTAATCTCAGAGGGCTCCCCGCCCAGTGTCTCCCAAAACTCAGGAGGCTCCTGGCCCTGTACCAGCAGCGTGATCTCTGCCTTCCCTTTCCGCTCGTTCTTGTTGATTTTCTCTGCAAAGAGTCTAAGTGCGGGACACAGAGCCGTCAGTGAGGATGGCACCCCTTCTTAGGCGATGACTTTCCTTTAAACAAAATGTGCTGCCTTTTCCTCTTACCTGGCCTTGGTGGTACTGCTCAGCGTGGCCTGAGCCCCCCGCCACACACAGATGTCCAGCCCTTGGTCCAGCAGGAAAACAAACCTGGACAGGAGGGGGCAGGAGGGAGCTGTGATGGGGCTTGGGGCAACGACTGTCTCCATGTCCCTGCCCCCACCAAAAAGTCCTTCATTGTGGGGTTTTGCTCTCCCTTTCTGGGGGGGTCTCAGGGACCCTCTGGCTAAGCCCTGTGGGTAGGGTCTTGTTAAAAGGGCTGCCAGAGGGCCTTCTCTAGGAAGCCTTAAAATGCCCCCACCAGTGGGCACTGAGCACCCCCACCTCGCATCATGGGCGTTCACCTAGGGTCCAGGGAGGCCCCCTTGAGGGGTACAGGCTCCAGCTTGATGTTCTTCTTCCCATACACACGGTACATCCTGGCATCAGGACAAGAGTGGCTCGGTGTGGGCACAAAGGGCCTGGTGTAGCCCCAACACCCTCCCCTCCACCCCTTGCAGCAGAGTCCAGGTTAATACCACCCACCCCACACACACCCTCACCTGGTGACGTAGTGCGTGTCCTCAACAGTGTAGAAGCCACTGGCTGTTCCACCCTCAATGTAGGAGATGTCGTTGTCAAACACCTGTGTGTGTGAGGGTGGGTGCATCATTGAGCTGCCCCCTCCCCACACCAAACACCACCTGCAGGTAGGGCACAGAGTGTGTACTGGTGAAGCAGGTGCTACAAATCCAAGATGAGCTGGGTGTGATGGCTCACGCCTGTAATCCCAGCACTTTGAGAGGCGGAGGTAAGAAGACTACCTGAGCTCAGGGGTTCAAGACCAGCCTGGGCAACTTGGGGAGACCTTGTCTCTACAATAAATAAATTTTTTAAAAATTAGCTGGGTGTGGTGGTATGTGCCTGTAGTTCTAGCTACTTGGAAGGCTGAGGTGGAAGGATCACCTAAGCCCAGCAGGTCGAGGCTGTGGTGGCTGGGAACAGCCTGGGCAACAGAGTGAGACTCAAAAACAAAAACAAATCCAAGATGATGTTAACAAAAGGTTTGTGCCTATAAAAATAAATACATGTTTAGGTGGACATGGTGGCACATGCCTGTAGTTCCAGCTACTTGGAAGGCTGGAAAAAAATATGTTGGGATATTGACACATACAAAGATATGAATGTGTTCATTTGTATATTAAGATATGTGCGGCATGTTTGGACATGGATGTGGATCAGAGTCCAGGATCAAGCAGGTTCATGGAAGAGTGCGGATCTGGGCGGATGTGGCTGAAGACTGTGTGTGTGTGTGTGTCTGCATATGTGCCCAGACATAACCAGCTGGCAAGGAGGCACAGGGTTGCTTGCTAACCCTGGTTAGCATTTATTATTTATTTATTTTGAGTTGGAGTCTCACTCTGTAGCCCAGGCTGGAGTGTTGTGGCATACTCACGGCCACTCCAGTGTTGACATGCTAGGCCCCAGCGATCCTTCCACCTCAGCCTTCCATGTAGCCGGAACTACAGGTACACAGTACCATGCCTGGCTAATTTTTTATTTTACATCTTATTGTAGAGACGTGGTCTCGCCAAGTTGTCCAGGTTGGTCTTGAACCCGCGGGCTCAGGTAATCCACTTGCCTCAGCCTCCCAAAGTACTGGGATTACAGGCTGAGCCTCTAGGCCTGGCCGGTTAGAACTTATTTACGCCTAGACTCTGGGCCTGTCCTTGGTCCCCAGTGGTGGCTCCACCCGCTACCCCTCCTGCCCCTTCGACCTGGCTCCACAGCTCCCTGTGTCAGCCCACTGGTCTGGCTCCCATCCCAGCCTGTTCCCCATCCTGCCCAGACCCATGCTCCAGACCTCTCCTCCACTGACCCAGCCTGTGGCCGCCTCTGTCCCCACCCTGCTCTCTGAGGACCCACTCGGCATCCTCGAGCCCCCCGCCCTGGGCCTCAGCTCCCTGCACACCTATCGCCGCCCCAACGCACGGGCTCCCCGGGCCCTCCTGCCTGCCCCCACTCTCAGGCGGTACCTGCAGGAACTCCTCGCTCTCGTCGCCCATCTCCTCTCGCACCGTGCGGCACTCCGCACCCAGGTAGTTGCGCAAGTTGACGGCGTGGATGGCAGAGCAAGCCTTCTTGTCAAGTGTGGCCTCCCCGCCGATCCAGTAGTAGATCTTCCAGTTCAGGGAGCCGCTGTCGTCCAGGAAGGTCTGGGAGCCGAGGCATGGGCCACGTCAGCCTTTGCTGCCGCCCGTCCCGACTTTCTTTCGTTTTTTTTTTGAGTTGGAGTCTCGCTCTGTTGCCCAGACTGGAGTGCAGTGGCCG